GTTTCCATGCAATGGTCAGGAAAAGAGAGAGTAGGAATGTGGAGGATTGCATGATATGTTTCTTACAGGTGAGGAATGGAAGTAGCAGGCATTATTTTTTTTATTGTTTTATTGCTTAAAGTATTACAAAGGGTATTACATATGTGTCCTTTTTTTCCCCCCCACTTGACAATCCCCTGGCCTCCCCTACCCCCCAGTGTCTTATGTCCAGTGGTTATGCTTATATGCATGCATACAAGTCCTTCGGTTGATCTCTTACCCCCCTCCCTCCTGCCCCCCAACCCTCCCCGGCCTTCAGCAGGCATTATTTATTCCCACATCCCATCGGCTAGACCTCAGTCACATGTCACACTGACCTGCAGGGAGGCTGGGAAATGCTAACTATCTGAATGCCCAGGCAGCAGGGAGAAACTAGTTTGGTGAAGACATATTAGTTTCTATCACTCTCTTAAAGAAGAGAGACAGCATCTCAGTCACCTTTGTAGCTTTTGGTGCCTTACACACTGTAGACACCCAGGAAAAGTCTGATGAACTTCACAGATTGTAAAGGGGTGAGGTTGCTAAAATTGTGTGCCTAAGTGATGTGCCTAAAATTGAAAGTTACCACACTTCATTATGGTTGCTTAAAAAATGAGCTATTACTTGATGACTAGATTACAGCCTGTTCACTTCTGAATTCCAGCAAAAGGGATAGAACTTGGCAAGAGCTTAATAGATGTTTGTTAAATGAATGAGTAAATGAATGAATGAGTCCTCAGAAAATAAAAAGGACAGAGTTAGTTTACATGGACTTGGGAAATACTAATTGGGATGACTTTTAAATTAGATCTTGAGTAACTAGTAGAATTTTGCCAAGTAGAGAAAGCAAAAAAAAAAAAAAAGTTATAGGCAGCAATGATAATGGTGTTCTGTTGTTGCCTTGCTTGTTACTTGAGTAGAAATTTAGAAAACAATCAAATGCTGGTAAGTTCAGCTATTTTGTTTTATTCAGTGTTCAAACATTACAAATTCACTTCAAGTTGTAAGAGTTGGGGAGAGAAATTATATAACCTTACAACCTATATAATCTCTGTTGACTGAAAGAATGATCCTAAAACCCTTGGCACTAAAATGTTATTTTCTGAAAATTTTTGAGAATTATCAATACAAAGGTAGTGTTGTGATCATTCATCTTCTTTGTTGTGATCATTCTTTTTTTTTTTTTTTTTTTTTTTTTTGCACCATGTCAAAAAGCTAGGGAGCCTGCGTAAGCCAAAGTGCTCACTGTTACTCCTTATCATAGCTTTGCAGAGTTGGCTCTGCATCAGAGTCATCTGTTACACGGGTTAGGCTGCTTTTGGCGGCAAGTAACAGGATATTTGGCCAAAATTGCCTTAAAAATATATAAGTTTACTTTTCTCATACAACAAGATGTTTGAAAGTAAGTAGATACAGGGTTTGTTCAGTAGCCCAATGATAGCAGGATCTAGGTTGCTTTCTGTGAACTAATTTTGACTTTTTTTTATGGGTAAATGATGGCTGTTAGAGTTCCAAGAAACACAGTCCCCATCTCTGCGCGCCCCCCCTCCCCCACCTTCCCCCCCACACAAACACAAGGGCCTTTGAAGACAAAAAGAGAATTTTCTCCTTGCCTCTTTTTATTAGGAAGGAAAATCTTACCCAGTGGCCTCAATAGCCTTGTGCACAAATTTCACTGGCAAGAAATGAATCATGCTTAGCCCTAAACCAACAGCTGGCAAAAAGGAATGGTGTTCCAAAGATTGATATTGACCAATCATGACTTATCCCTGGGAGGGGGAAGGGACCCACTGGCATACCGGAGCAGCGGCACTTGAAAGTAAATCTTGTCAGCCACACTTGGGTCATATATTCTCACTTTTTAATTTTTCTATCCCGGACACCCACATGTCAGATCAATTCTTTTCCCCACCATGGTTTATTTATTTATTTTGTTCTGTGGTCATTTTGTTCTCTAGAAGGCTTGCCTTGTATATCACACTCTGGAGCTTAGCAAAAAAGCTCTTTTCCAGTGGTTCTAGTAAATACCTTACATGTCACCCACATTGGTGAGGCATGGGCCACATGCTCATGGCTGAAACAATCAATGTGATTGGGAGGGAGTTCCCCCATTGGCCAGGCCTGTCCTGTCTCTGGAACATTGGTGAAGCATGGAGTTTGGGGAGGTGAGGATGACAGTCTCTCATGAACCACATGGATGGGGAACAGAGGAGATGGGGATTCCACAAAAGAAAATGAGTGTTCTGTGACCCCAAAAAAGGGATGGGGCAGGTGGGAAATGCTTGTCAGGCCAAAGCTTCAAATATCCCTTATGGAAAAGATATTTATCCCCACATTTTGAAGCCTTAGATTGCTATCTTTTTGGTCTCTCGCTGTCAGCTGTTACTCATGCTGCTGTCAGTTTGCCTCTATCACAATCTCTTCCTACATTTAGCTTATAATATCTTCCAAAGGTTTAGAGATTAGAGGGGCAAAGTCATTAGAATTGTTTTCAAAATAAGAGCTAATGGGCCCAGAGGTGAGGCCTCAAGTGTCTCTTTATGAGTAAGGAGTATACACTTTTTACTTTTTAATGGATTTCATGATATTTCTTATGACCCTTTAAAGGGCATTTTTTGCATATTTTCTGATATTTATTTATTTATTTGCAAAACTGCCTTCTTAATAGAGCATATACCATTGTAATTTCAAGAACCAAGGACTATGAACAGTAAATGCCATGGACATGGTTGCTTTAAGTAAAGGTTACAATTTTGTAATTTTTCTAAGTTTAAGTGGTTTTCTGAAGTGAGACGGGTGGTATGTGTTCTTTTGAAAATGGAACCATAACAAAATAAAAAGAGCTGACCAATTAGTTATAAGTTGCTTTCCTGGACTTATTAGAATACTGGTACTTTATTTTACCTTTCTCCCTGCAATACCTCTCTGATCTCAAATAAGTACTTTGGCTTCTATGGTGGAGAGTATATAGGGAGACAGAAAAAATAATTTTTAGAACACGAAACTGTGTTAACACCCACAGATAGCATATACTGTGCAACATTCCAAGTTTTGATTATGTTAAAAAGAACCACAATATTAATAAAATAAAAATTTTAAAGCTTCATTTTAGCCAGTAGTTTATATCTACTGTAAATAATCATTTGTACTTGTTGGCTATTTTAAAATATTCTTCATAAGTGGTGGAATTGGCTGATTTGGGGAATTTCATAAAGGAGGTTATTCTAGTGACACTGCTCCAGAGTGTCTATGTAATTCTTCTAATGAGAGAGGTGAAGAAATGACAGTGGTGAGTGTTATTATATCCATCTAATCAAGAAGTCAGCCTTGGGCCAAAACCGGTTTGGCTCGGTGGATAGAGTGTCGGCCTGCGGACTGAAAGGTCCCAGGTTCGATTCCGGTCAAGGGCATATACCTTGGTTGCGGGCACATCTCCAGTAGGAGGTGTGCAGAAGGCAGGTGGTCAATGTTTCTCTCTCATCGATGTTTCTAACTCTCTATCCCTCTCCCTTCCTCTTTGTAAAAAATCAATAAAAATATATTTTTTTTAAAAAAGTCAGCCTTGAAAGAAAGAGGTAAAAAGCATGATAAAGAAAATCAATGGGATTGAGTAGTAAATTCTTCAAGACTGGTGATACCTTGTCATGCTTAATAGTAAAAGCAAAAAGATTCTTAGAGAATTATGATTATTAGAAAGAAGGCATATGAGTGGCTAACAACCAACACTATTGAACACTTACCATATGTATGGTTGGAACAACTCTAGCCTCCATTGTATAGAAGAGGAATTAGTTACAATTTGGTGGATGATGGAACTGAACTTCAGGCCCAGGTTTGTCCAACTCCAAAGCCAGCAGACCTCTAATAGTGGTGTAAACAATTTCCTCAAGGCTTGGCAGCCCAAGACCGATGTAGCCACTCAAGGATGTCACCAAGGAACCAGCTCCTCCTGTTATACTTATGTACTATCTGTGGTATAGGACCTTTTAATCTCATGGTTGAAAGATGGGTGCTGGCCCTCCAGCTTGTGTACCTACAAGAAGAAAGGGAAATATTAGAGGGTAAAGAGTAAACATTATGATCCTTGAAAGCCTTGCCACATTGTTTGGGAATGAAATTCCCCCGAAAGACTCCCACTTATATCTCATTACGAAGAACTGTGACCCATGGTCACCTCTAGCTGCAAAGTGGCTAAGAATTAGAGTACTTGGCTCTCAGACTACACAGCATAGAAAGCCTAGGGAGAAGGGATTGAAGTGGGTGCTTATGGAGGTCTGCCTTACAGGTTTTTTAGTTATTTTGTGTAAGTTTATTTTTTCTGGGATACTGTGAACCTATGGAGAACAAAGAATATGTTTTCATATCTGAATTGCCCACACTAATGGGCAAGTGACTACCATAGCACTTATTACAATATCTAAGACATTGTGGCTACTCAAATCAATGTTGTTGGTGGGGGGGGGGGGGTTAACTTTAATTTAGAAATAACAACCATGCAAGAATTAGTGACACTAGTTTCTCTGAAAATGATGGAATCCATAGACTTCTCTCTGGTGAGCCATTTCCTCATATCAACGTTGGAAAATTACCTGGAGGTTTTCTGCTTCATTGAAGCAGAGAAGACAATTGAAGGTAGTATTACTTGGAATATTTGAAGTATAAATCACAAAAACAAGGTGGAAAGAAATCATAGAAAAGTATGATGGTCAACAAGGGCTTTTTCAAGAGAGGTAAAAAGATAAGAATTAGAATAAGATATTGTAATCAAAGAAAAGATTAACGATTAAAAACTAAGAATAGTCTAATTTAAAATATTTTAGATGTTCAGAGTTCTAAGGGGAAAAAATGAGTACAAGTCATTAGTTTAAATTGCTCAAATTGCTGTTTAATTTATTTGTTTAAATCTCAGATTGCCAAAATAGGGAAAAATAAATAAATAAATCTCAGATTGCCATTCTCTATCTATCCTATTTCTCCTTCAGAACAGATCCTGTTTGTTGCCCCTCTGTCATCTTATTCTTAGTTATAAATCATGGGGGATGAGGATAAAACAGTTAAACATGAAGATTTGGAACCATCCACAGGGGTGAATCACACAGCCTCTGCGTATCAACAAACACAGGTAAATCTGCAATCACATGACGTTCATCCCAACTATTTCCTTAAGGAAAGGACTATATGTTTCCAAATCTATGATAGAATTGTTTTCTTTTCATTATATCACTCAGTTAACAATTCTCCATGTTCTTTAATTTTTTATTATGTTTTTATTGATTTCAGGAGGAAGGGAGAGGGAGAGAAAGATAGAAACATCAATGATGAGAATCATTGATTGGCTGCCTCCTGCACGCCCCCTACTAGGGATCCAGCCCACAACCCCGGCATGTGTCCTGACTGGGAATCAAACTGTGACCTCCTGATTTATAGGTTGAAGCTCAAACACTGAGCCACACCATCTGAGTAATTATTCCTGTTCTTAATCCCCAAACTCATACAGTCCAGGGTAGGTGTGACTACCAGTTTTCCCAGATAGTCATTAGCAGCTGGCCCAACATAAGGCTAGAAAAATAAAGAGCCTGTGAAATTCTTTATGTTCCCAGCCAAACCCTTACTATATCTAGTAGTTTTTTTGTTGCTTAAATTCAAGCAGATGAATAAGTGAGAATTGATTTTCACCAAAGATAGTTATTTTCTTCTGGATTACTTTTAAATATTTACCAACTATTGCCTTAAATCATATCTTTTTGTTTGTTTGTTTTTAATCCTCACCTGAGGATATGTTTTATTGACTTTTTAGAGAAAGAAGCAGGGAGAGAGAAAGAGAAAGAGAAACATCATGGGAGAGAGAAACATGATGGTTGCCTCCCATACGCACCTTGACCAGGGATGAACCCACAACCTAGGTATGTGCCCTGATCAGGAAGCGAACCTGAAACCTTTTGGTGTATGAGACAACTCTCCAACCAACAGAGTTACTGAGCCAGGGCTTGAATCATATCTTAAATAGGCTCATTTTTAAACCCAGGATTGTAAAACATAATGAAATTTTATGTGACTCAAACATTTATAATGAGACAAATAATGACTCAATGGCAAATATACCCAATATAGTTCTTGTTCCAACTATTAGCTGATTAATAATAAAGCCATCCATTTCCCAGTACTAGCCTTGATTCTAGCAATGGGAGTTTGATTTGTGATGTGATGGCTCAGTAACTTAAAAAAATGTATAACAAATATACAATTTTAAGAATTTTTTTCTAAAAATTTCTTTAAACACAGGAGGAACCTGTTATAAACCAAATAGGATTAGATGAAAGTGAATCAACTGAAGGAAGTAGTGGTATGACCAGCAGTGGAAAAAGACTACAAGAAACATCAACTGAATCAAATCGTTTGCAAAGACTAAGGCAAACATTTGCTTGCCCTCCACATGGCTTACTGGATAAAGTAATAACAAATGGTATGTAAATGGTAAGGATAAATTCAGAAACAGAGGGTAAAATACAAAGTTGTTATATAATGGGAGATTCTAAATAATATGGTTTAAAGGACAAAAAGAAGTTACTTCTCTCTCACAAAAAAACTACTAGGTGAAAAATTCACAATGGTAAGTTGCTCTGCTCCACACAGTCATTCAGGGGCCCAGGCTGAAGGGCTCCACCATGTTTCACACCAGGCTTCCAAGAGCGCTGTGGTCATCACCATTCCAGAGGCCTGGAAGAGGCAAAGAGCAGGGATCAAGGACCTTTTCCTTTTCTGTATCTGAGTTACTTCACAGGACTATGTTAGGGCTCCAATAAGAAAAGTGATTGAGAAATTGCTTGTAAACAGAAAAGCACTACATAAGTGTTGGTTGTTATTACTGTGAGTTAATGCAACCGATGTTCGAGGGAACACAGTTCAGTTTATACTTCCAAGTGAATCGTGTCATTTTATAAGTAAAGGTCTTGGTTTGCAATTCAACTTATTCCAATAAAGGTGTTATTACTTAAAATATTTGGGGGATTTTTCTTTGGGGAATTTATTTCAACATGGTTTTGAATATTGTTAGGGTTGAGATCTATCGGTCTTTGAGGCATGGATTTGGTTTTTGGAGGCAGCCAGACATTATTCTGATACCAATTTGATGAATAAGTGGATGTTCAAACTGAGTAATGCTGGGTTTTGTTCAAGAAAGGAAGTGTGTGCGTTTGTGTTTATGTTTATGTGTGTGTTATGTACATTGGAGGATGTGTGGTATAATAGGAAAAAGGGGGAGGAGTTTGAAAATTGCCTGTAAAGGCAAATTTAAAAACAATTTCACAAATTGTATTGAGGAATGACAGCATCATCAAAATAAATATATTGCCTCCCAAAGAAAATATGTTGAAAAATGTAACACATTTGATCTAGAAATTATGTTTATTGAAAAATCAGACTCACTTCTTTGTAGTTGTATTTCATTTGGGAGCTCTGAACGACATTTTTATCATTCTCAACTGGGGCAATGGACGCCAAGTATAATACATTAGGTATACTTTAGGGCCTAGACATGTTTTCAATGAAATTAGGTCTGTTTCTAAACTACCATGAGAAAAAGAAACCTCAAACTTCATTTAAAACACATAGAAAAAACCATGTTCCAAAATATAGCCATATAGTCAATATGGCTACAGGTAATTTAATACTTTTTCTGTCCTTTGTATTTTTTTTAACTTGCACCATTAAGTTATGGCACATTTCTAGTTAAAACATTTGCAGTAAAACAGATAAAGATGGGGTATAAATTAGTGATGTGATTTTGAGACTAATTTTTTAAAAATTCTATAGTCATTGTCCATCCAGGTGCCAGAGAAATGTGACTCAGTATATAAATACCTCTTTACTTGTTTCCTGTACTTCTATTTCTAAGGCTTACCAGACTGCTTTTTTCCTATACTACTTCCTGTGCCCATTCAGAATAAATAAGTATTCTTCTTAAGAAGTAAATGTTACATGTGAATATGCAAATTACCAAAATCATAAATGAGAAGTAAATTATTAACTGAATTAAATGTGATTTATGGAAATCTTATAAATGTACATTTGCTATGTATTTAGAATTGCATTTTGAATATGGGGAATGAAAAGAAAATTCAAGGTTTAAAAAAGTGGTCTTAAAGTAGGAAAAAAATTTAAAATTATTAACACAGTGTTTATTTCCATCAATATATAATTTATATCATCAATGTATATTTATTGGCCAGTGTATTGCCAATATATACTTATTAACACAGTAATTATTTGTTCTCATCAATAAGTGGATAACCAGATCTCATTATGAGATAATAAAGTTCCATTAAAGTGAAAAACTCCTAATTCTACCTGGCTGAATTTAGTATAAAAAATGGGTTTATGCTGTGAGAAAGTAAAATTTAGTAGCTGGCAATTCTGCTTCCCCATTACACCTCTAATACTGCACAGAAATTTCAGCCCCCATAGCTGTTGAAAATACCAAAGGCCCCTTAGTTATTTAACAGTAATAGCAGCATAAGCCTAGAAAATCTGGAACAATTCCATGAGGGTTTAAAAAATGAAATGTTGGATTTGATCTCTAGCAATATGGTAGATAAGACTCAATGAACAATTTTACTTATACCAATGAAAATATCTGAAAAAAATTTTTAAGTCTTTTTTAATGTATTTTTTATCTATCAAGGAAACAGGAAATCATCAGGACACCAAACCAAATTATAAGAGAGAGAAATAAGCCCTCAATTTAGCTTTCACCCTGAAGGCTTCTGCAAAATACCAGTGAACTTGAGATATATTTTAAGAACTAAGAGTATAGGAGGCTACACTAGAGCCTAGGTTGGGAGACGTGTAATAGGAGAAATCATTCGCCCTTACCCATACACAGCTGGAACCCAGTGTCATGGTGAATTTGAGGTAAACCTGCCCTAAAGATGGGGCCAGCAGCTAAACCTATCTGTGGGAGAGTATCCACTAAAAATGTGTAAATTCATGCTGATTTGTGTTCCGAAGTCAGTGAAGAAAATCAAGCTGAAAATATGTCTAAAAGTGGTCCTGAATTATTAGCTTCTGAGTGCATGACAGAAGCAAATTCAGAGCTTATCTGGCAAAGCTCACATTCAACCTGAGGCTCCAACAACTCTCAAAGATAAAGTTCCAAGGAAGTGGTTACTATTGCAAAACAAACTAAAAAATATGACAACGTGAATAAGGAAACAGATTATAAAATTTTGCATTATATGAAAATTTAATATAAAATATTTTTGGTATCTATAAAGAAGTTGAGATGATAATTATGAGTGCAAAGTAAGTAACTATTTTTAAAATGAACAAAGATATTCTATTAAGAAACAAATTGAATTTCTAGAAATGAAAGATAGGGTATAATAATTGAAATAGAAAACTTAGTAGTTAGATTAGGCAACAAAGTAATAAAAAGGGAGTTGATAAACTAACAAATAGGTCTGAAGAGATTATCGAGAATGTAGTACACAGACAAAAAAAGATAATATGAAAACGAGAGTTAGCAACATATGTGTAACTATCCAGTCATAGTTCCAGAAAAGGAGAATAGGAAGAATGGCAAAGAAATACTTGAAGAAATGAAGACAGAATTTTCCAAAATTGATGAACACCAAAAACTAAGCGAAGCAAAAGGAATCCATCCTAAACATAACATAATTAAAAACAGCCAAAGGAAAATTACCTAAAAGAACTGAAATTAAACTTAAAATGAAATTAACAACAGCAAAAGCCGGAAAACAGTAATAATATTTTCAAGGAACTGAGAAAGTCTCAACCTAGGATTGTATACCCAGAACAACTATCTATTAAAAATGAAAATGAAGGTAATTCTAGACAAATAGAACAGATCCTAATGAGAAACATAGCATACTTCACTGCCAAGTGTTTCTGTACCACTCAGCTCATTTGAAATGGTAAATAGGGAATCATGTCAGTGTAATATGAAATTTGCATTTTTGTACATAATTTTTCCTGGCACATTAATACTTTGCCTCATCAAGCAATAGAAGTGAATTGAAAACAAACAAAAAGAAATCTGGTATATGCTTTCTTACAATTAAAGATTAATTCCTTGCCCTAGCAGATTTGGCTCAGTGGATAGAGCGTCAGCCTTCGGACTGAAGGGCCCCAGACTTAAATCCAGTCAATGGCACCTGTCCTGGTTGTGGGCTTGATCCCCAGTAAGGGGCGGGGAGGAGGCAGCCAATCAATGATTCTTTTTCATCATTGATGTTTCTCTCTCTCTCTCTCCCTCTCCTTTCTTCTCTGAAATCAACAAAAATATTTTTAAAGTTTTTTAAAAAAAGATTAAAGCCTTGCTAATATAAGGACCTTTTAAAAAGCTGAGCTCTCTGTGGAAGTGCCTTCTTTTCAGGCAGTTGGTTGCTGGTGTAGGAATTTCATAAGACCATTAACTTTCTACGTTACGCTGCCCAATGAAACCATTTGTCAGTGACGAAGCTGACAGTACAGATGAAGAAGCTGCCAACACTTTTCACTCAGTTAATAAAACCAAACATTACAACATTTGATTGATGGGGAAGACTGCAGATTTAGATGGAACTCCTCTCTATTTAAGGCAAAGCCCTCAAGATTCTCCATCTTGAAATAGGAAGTGTGGTTCCAGGGTTATAGTCGGCAAAGAAGAGACTGAAGGAGGGAGAGACAAATGTCAGTGGAGATTTAACTGGGTTGGCACTTTTTTTTCAGGATGGTTGTTATTTTTGTTAGTGCTTTGGTCACAAGTTTTGAGTTTAGAGTGGTCTGGCCAACTCTGTTTTCCCGTGAGCCTTTCTATTTTCAGTGTATAGGTTTGTAGAACACAAGGTTTTCAAACGGGGAAAAGTATTTCACATTCTAAGAAATGCCTCTACTAAAGGGAATACTTCAGGCAACTGTTGTCTCAGGTGAAAGGTGTGAGATGCCATAGTGAATGATGTTTAAAAAAAAATAGGTAAGGCCCAGCCAGTGTGGCTCAGTGGTTGAGCACTGACCTATAAACCAGAAGATCACGGTCCGATTCTCAGTCAGGACACATGCCTGGTTGTGGGCTTGATCTCCAGTGGGGGCTATGCAAGAAGCAGCCAATCAATGATTCTCTCTCATCTTTGATGTTTCCATCTCTATCTCCCTCTCCCTTCCTCTCTGATATCAATAAAAATATATTTTAAAAAATAGGTTAAGTATGTGGGTAATTCTAAACAAACAGTGACTGTAGAAAAGAAATAATAATGTCTACTTCAATGCAGAACTAAAATACTGGCATGTGATTGTTCAAGTATTCTCATGTTCCTGTGAAGAGGGTAAAGATAGTGATTCTCTTTTTAATATTAACTACTGAGATACTTATGGTAAAATTATAAAGAAAAATAAGAAAATGGCAAAAAAAAATTCAAGATAGCAGTTCCTTCTGGCAGGGCGAGAGGAACTGGGGATGGAGCTAGAAGGGGGGCACTTAGGTGGATTCAAGGCCAGGCGTAACAGTCTGTTTCCTCAGATGTGGGTTATTACCTCATTGTTCATAGTCATTATGTTCTCAAATTTACACATGGTTATAAGTATTTGTGTACGTATTCAATGTGTGTTTTTTTTTTAATTTCGGTTATATTTAAACCTGCATATAACAACTTACTGATAAAAACTCATTTTCCTGGTTTATTTCAGTTACTATGGTTGTTCTCCTGTGGGCTGTAGTTTGGTCAATCACTGGCAGTGAATGTCTTCCTGGAGGAAACCTGTTTGGGATTATAATCCTTTTCTATTGTGCCGTCATCGGAGGCAAACTTTTTGGGTTCATCAAGTTACCTACGTTGCCTCCACTGCCTCCTCTTCTTGGTAAGTGCTGAACACTTCCTGTCTTCTTCAGTGTAAATCCTGTTTTAAGAATAGTAGTTTGGAAATAAAGGAATAAGCTATTTCTGTATTTTCTGTGCTAGAGCTAAACACTGAAAATTAAATTTTGAGGAATTTTATGAGCCCGTAGTGAAAAATGGTGATTTCAAAAAATTAAATTATAAATACTTACTGCCCATTTCTTTCAACTACACATTCGGTGACATCATGTTCACAGCTTAACATGGGCCAGGATGGAAGTATTTATAAGACAGAAATCAGCATATGCTACACATCAAGACTTGATATCTTGTAAGTCACTCACATTTTTGACAAACAAGTGAGGTTCCAACACATATTTTGTTCTTATTCATTTATATAAACAAACAAAAATATCAACCAATATTTCTGGTGATGCTAGCTAGTACTCACTCATCGGTGATGTGAGCAACTTCTTTGCTAATTTATTTCAATAAGGATTTGCTTCTAAATAACTTGGGAGTATTTGAAGTAAAATTGGCCTTTTGTTGATAATCCTTGTATATTTAAAAAACTTTCTATAATAACAAATTAAGGGGAAAAAAGAATACACCTTATCAAAGAAGGTGTTCTTTCCTCTACAACCAAGGCAGAGTTTCCTGTATGCTTAGAGGCAAGAAGGGGACATCTGCCATATCGCAAGCAGGTGGCCCCATCCCCCAGACCTCTGGCAAAGGAAATGTGGTCCCAGGGAAATTGTTTTCACATTCACTTGGAGAATAAAAAGTCCTCCTTCCATAAGATGTTTTTGAATTTTTATAAGATTATTATTCCTTTTGATTTCAGGTAGTTATATGCCTTAATCATTATAATGATTGCCCTAGCTGGTATTGATTGCCCTAGCTGGTTTGGCTCATTGGCCTGCAGACTGAGGGTCCCGGGTTCAATTCTGGTCAAGGGCACATGCCTGGGTTGTGGGCTCAATTCCCAGTATGGGGCATGCAGGAGGCAGCCAATCAATGATTCTCTCTCATCTTTGATGTTTCTATCTCTTTCTCCCTCTCCCTTCCTCTCTGAAATCAATAAAAACTCAGCTTTCCTAACCCTGCCTTTCTCCCCTTCCCCTTCTTTGGATCTCTGGGACTCATATCTCTTGTCTCAGTTCATACTGATGCTCCCTTAACATTGAGATGTCAGTATATCTTGCTCCCCTACTGGCTGAAAGCAGTACTGAGTCCTTGCTCATTATCTCAAATACCTACTACAGCAAGCATGTCAAACTCAAAGGCTAACACGGGCCAAATAAACAAGGTTTAAGTTTATGTGGGCCGCAAAAAAACAAAAGCTTCAATTTTCATAGAAACATAGGTTTATTTCAATAGAGACAAAGGGTTGAAATAAATGAGTAATCGTTAACATAAAATAATAGAACATTTTAATAAAAATTAATTTTTTTCTTGAACGTTAACTTACCAGACACTGAATAACTGCACAAATTAATAAGCATAGCACAAATAAACCTATTTTTCCTGTTCTCCGAAAGCGAAATATTTCCTGTTGTGCACACCAAACAAGTCAGTCCAAGACTAATGATGTGGCAATCAGCTGCTGAAATATTCGCTGCTAGTATTAGTGGAGTGAAATGGTGCGCCTGCACATAAGGTGCGTAAGGGAAATGAATGCAACACGATTATAGTAATCAGTCATTAGTGAACATTGTAGTTCATTATTAATAATCATGTATAACAGGACATTGTGAAATTTAAGTTACGAAATTTTTATTAAAACGTTTCTTACATACCGTTATATTGGCTGGGCCGCGTGCAGCCCGCGGGCCATGAGTTTGACACGCTTGTACTACAGTGTCTCAGATACTGAAGGCAGTGGTATGTGTTTAATGACTGACGAAAAGAGGCACCAGCTGACATGATAGAGCAATATCCAATTCACCACAACCCACTTTTAAGCCTTTGTAAAGCAGGTTATGTCTTTTTTATTAAATTATCTGGTTTGAAGGTAAAATAGAGCCCATATAGGTGTTGATATTTATTTCAGGTAATCTGACTTAGCAAATAATTTTAGGAACTGTTTGCTAGTTGCACATAAAGAGATGACTGAATTAGGCATTTTATTAGGCATTTTATTAAAACATTTAATATTTGATCACGTTTTCTAATACTGCCTCCTATTTCTCTCTTTCAATTTCAGTTATTCTAATAATTATTCTAATCTGTCCTTTCAATTTGTATATTAAAGCTTTTTCTTTGCTCCTGTATTATATTAATATTAAATTAAAGTTTAATGTAATTTTATCTGAGGGCTAAGCATAAAGGAAGTGGTCCCTGAGATTACAGAGTAGTCTCTCTCATATCCACAGTGCCAAAAAGTGTTTTCTGTATTTGAAAACTATCTAAAGGGTTGTTTGACTTCTCCATTCCAGGCATGCTGCTTGCTGGGTTTCTCATAAAAAATATCCCTGTCATCAATGATAATGTACAGATCAAGCACAAGTGGTCCTCTGCTTTGAGAAGCATAGCCCTGTCTATCATATTGGTTCGTGCTGGCCTTGGGCTTGATTCAAAGGTACTGAAGTTGTAAATGTCTAACTGTTGACTAGGAATTTTATTCTTCCAATGTCACAAGTATTTAGAATCCCTGACCTTTAGGAAATGGATGTGGACTCTCTGCATGGCATTCTCAAAAAGACAACACAATTTATTTCATGCAGGACTGTCCCCAGAAGATGTACCCATACTCTTTCTTGGAGAAGGTGGAGTTACTGCCTGTTTGGGGACAGCACCAAGAATAAAGCCCCTCCCTTTCTCTGACAGAGATATAGGCCATAATTATAAGTAATGAGCAGAGAGAAATATATTTTTGATGCATAAAACCCTTTACAAATGAGGTGTTCAGGACTAACTATACTGGCTTAGGAAACTGCCTGGTATATAGAATGAGTCTCAAGTATACTTTTCTAGAATGCTTTTATTCTTGTATGTCTTTGAATATAAAATGAATATTCTTAGGGATGAGTCTTTAACCTGGGTTCATGCTGGGGCCACAGGTTATACATAAAGCCAACACTGAGAAGGTTAAACGGGTGTGGAGATTATGAGCTGCCTTCCTGGATTCAAACCTAACTCTACCACTCACCAATTTCATGATTTTGGGCAAATCACTTGAACTTGTGCCTTTTCAGATGAACACATCTAAAACACCGTGGTAATAATATTACGTGTATCATAGGGTTGCTATGAGGACTAAATAAGCTATCTCTAAAACACTTAGAACACTGAAATGTTTGTAGAATAAAACGCATCACCTGGAAACTTCATGACGATCCAGACATGGTCTCAATACTGAAGAAAAAGCAATTCATGTCATTTTCTCTGTGTGTCTTTAGCAGATTGCTTTAGAATGTCTGTTTTTATATCGCAGGCCCTGCAGAAGTTGAAGGGTGTTTGTATGCGATTATCCGTCGGTCCTTGTCTTGTGGAGGCATGCACGTCCGCTCTTCTCGCCCACTTCCTAATGGGGTTACCATGGCAATGGGCATTTATCCTGGGGTAATGATTTTTCCTTGTCGTATGAAAATATGCATGGATATTTAGAACTTTCTCTAATTCGATACAAGAGAATGCATAATAGCATTTTCTTAAGGACATCAGAAAATACAAAATGGATATTTCAGCACGATATTTAAGTATTAATAGTCCAACATGTAAATATTATGAAGAGCATACATCTTTGCCGGTGCTAACTTTTACAGTGGTCATAATAATTTACACGATTGAGGAAGTAATAGGCTTTTTACCTACATCTGACTCCGTGCTGCTGAGAGAGCTGTTGGATCTCACTCCAGAGTCGGCACAAAGGATCACTGAGACATCAGCAGTGATCACCTGGTACCGTTTTCCTCTAGGCCAGTGGTTCTCAACCTTCTGGCCCTTTAAATACAGTTCCTCATGTTGTGACCCAACCATAAAATTATTTTCGTTGCTACTTCGTAACTGTAATGTTGCTACTGTTATGAATCGTCACGTAAATATCTGATATGCAGGATGGTCTTAGACAACCCCTGTGAAAGGGTCGTTTGACTGCCAAAGGGGTCGCGACCCACAGGTTGAGAACCACTGCTCTAGACTATTGTGATTAGGGGATTCTGCTGCCTCTTCCTTGCACTATCAGTTACTATTTCCAACGGCTGAGGGCCAGGAGAGGTAAATAAATATAAATTGCTTAGTAAAATTGTAGGGTAATAAGTAGGTGAGACGTTAGTTATTGCTTCTCATGAGTAAGACTCTGTAGCTATATTCTGCCTGGGCTCAGGTCCAGCTCTGTAACTTTCCAGTGTATGATCTCTGGCAAGTTACCTAATCTCTCTGTGCCTCAATGTCTTCATTTGCAAAATGAACAGAATGATTGTAGCTACTTCATAGGGTTGTTGTGAGGATTAAATTATTTAATATATGCAAACTGCTTAAGATGGGGTTTGGCACATGGTAAGCACTGTAACATGCTCCTTCTGTTACTACTGCTGCTATTCTTAGTATCACTGTCACTGTCAGGATGGCCTTCCCCTTCCTAGTCTGTTGTCTTATTTTACATGCCAAGGCCCGGTAGAAGGCCCGAGATCACTGTGTTCCAATCCACAGATCCATGGCCATCTTTTTAAAATGGCAGTTTCCTGGAGCCTAACCTCATTAGGTCTTCTAGACCACCCATAAATGCAGATATATATTAGGCAACCAAAGTGCTTACAGTGTAGGTGGTGCATGGCCACAGTTTGTCAAGTGTTCTGTAGAACTTGTATGTGTGTATGTGTTTCTGGTTTGATGCATCACTGCCATTCAAAAGACTCTCTCACATGTGTGCTCTAAAAGAGCAGAGGTTATTGTAATTTCATAACAATGATGATGAGTGAGATGCTACCATAAATGTTTAAGCACTGCCTGCTTAGTTTTGTTGTAGGTGCTGTCTCTCCAGCTGTCGTGGTGCCTTCAATGCTCCTTTTGCAGGAAGGAGGTTATGGTGTTGAAAAAGGTGTCCCAACCTTACTCATGGCAGCTGGCAGCTTCGATGACATTCTGGCCATCACTGGCTTCAACACGTGCTTAGGCATGGCCTTTTCCACAGGTAAACTGATCAGCTCACAATGTGCTGTTCTCTGAGCTCTAGAGACAGATTGTGATGACATAAGCATGGCATATTTGCTTGATGATTGATTAAGGCAAATTGAAATAGAGAAAGCAACTGCAAGAGTTAGGTCCTTACCTAAGCGGGGACCAGTAGCTTTCTAGCTTTACTCCCTTAACCCAGACTGCTCAAGTAGCATGGGAGGTGCACAAAGGACTTTGCAAAGTAGCAAAGTTTAAAGGAGAACAGCTTCTGTATGGAGACTTCACACAAGGGATGAGTAGGTTTTTCAATGAGCCCAAAGGACAGAGAACATTCCAAGTGGAAGGAACAATTTCTGTTTTCTCATCTTTAACATTTTATGAGTAATAACAACAATGATTTTAATAAATAGCCTATTAATACTTGATAATTGTTGATATGGATGTATTTTGGTTTAAGTAGTAATAAAAGAGGAGCACACCTTAGGAAGTTATGTATTCTCTCTCCAGCCCCCAGTAGTTATCTTAACCACTTATGGTTATATATGATTTACACTGATTACCTAGAGCCTCACCTCTTCCTGTTGCCCCAGTTGCCTTACACCCAGTCCCTGTCATTTCTCACTAGTAAATTAAGCTCATCAGAATATGGTTTTCATGATGTTACTTTCTTGTTCAAGGACCAATGAAGATTCCCTATTACCTATTAAATTAAAATCTAATGGTTCTCAGCCTCAGCTGCACACATGTCAATGTAAGAAACATCCAAACCTGCAGAGAATTTTTATGCATTTATTTGGGCCAAACTAACTACAAGTGCCTGGAAGCAAAATCTCAACATATTGAGACAATGCTCCAAAGAATAGCGGTTTTACAGCTTATTTTATACATTAGAATCAAAGGAGGAGCTGTATGTGGGGGAGGGGTGCTACATAAAATTCATTGGTGGTTGATTAGGGAGGCAGGAGAAAGCAAAACAGTGAAATCTCTGAGATTGGATAAAGAATAAGACATACTTCTTTTTCATTGGTGGACATAGGATAGTTAACTATTCACATTTACAGCGCACAGAGATGGTATGTGGGGAACAAGGTAACAGTGAGGGGCCTGTGATCTGGTGGGAGGTGTGCTCTGAGGGATCTGGAAAATGAGATTACTCTGACAGTGCAAAGGTATGTTATCTTAGATGGAGAAAGATAATAGGCTCATCAGGGTAAAGAAGCTACAGGGAGGGGATGTGACTAAACACCATGACCCACTTTTAGTTAGGAATTTTTATTATTCAAACCATCCTATGTGGTTACTTTTAGTCTCTGAGTTTGTAAGATCCGCCATGCAGGCCTCTCCTGAGTTTGTCAGGTTTAGTATGAAGTTACTTTTGTCCACACTAGAATTACATAGGGAGTGGGGGAATTTAAAAAATATTCATATATGGGCCTTACCTTAGACCAGTTAAATCAAAACCTTTGGGAATAGAAAACACAACTTTAGAGTGTTAAAAAAATATATCAACCAAATAAACTTGAACATCTAATTGGCCTTATTAAGTGATTCATGAATCAGGTATATCCCATCTAGCAACTAGAAGACACTCTATGGGGTTGTACAAAATGGAAGATTGTCATAGAAAGAAAGATTTAACAAAAGAAAAGAAAGGGTTATTTTTAGAACAAACTGTCTTTTGGGGTGTGGGGTGGGAGACAAGAATTTTTATCATGCAGATTGCCTATGAATAAGATTGTATTTCTGAGAGATGTTGAAACTGCAGTTAAATCAGGTGTTAAATCTAGGTTTGATATCATGGGCTTTAGCACGAGTGACACCATTGGGGGCCTACAGTTTTCTCGTTAACAATAGTAACAGAGTTTGCATTAGAATCATTGGGGAGTAAGAAGAACAGGGACAGAGAGGGCAATGGGGAGGGTCTCCTTGGGTGTTCATAATCTGGAGGGTCGGAGGCTGTGGATAGCTTAAAAACCTTCCTTGTTGACAATGCTGCATACCCTCTACCTGTTCCCAGACGGGGCCCTTAGACCTTTTGGATGGGAACTACCTGGAGCCTCTTTAAAATGTGGATCCCAAGCCCTGACAGACCTACTGAACCAGAATTTTCAGAGGTGCGACCCAGGAAGTCTTTTTTTTAAACAACTTTACTATATGAGACTGACAGTCATTGGCACTTTCTATACATTTATAGTCTATTATTTACTGTAATAGGTTTGAGACATATGTTATTATTATATACTTTTGACAGTCATACTTTGCCTAACAGAGAGTTGTCTGAACTAAATAAAATTACTACAAGGTATTACTTTTTTTAAAATTAATTTTTCACAGAGAGGAAGGGAAAGGGATAGAGTTAGAAACTTCAATCAGCTGCCTCCTGCACGCCCCCTACTGGGAATGTGCCCACAACCAAGGTACATGACCTTGACTGGAATTGAACCTGGGACCCTTCAGTCCACAGGCCAATGCTCTATCCACTGAGCCAAACCAGTCAGGGCCAAGGTATTACATTTTTAAATAAGAGAGATGATTGAAACTGTAGGAGAAGAAAAACTGGTTTACCTCTATCCATTTCAGGTTCCTTGTCTGGGGCCCTGTAAATTAGACTGACAAAAGACAGGTTAACAGGGAAAAACAGTTTATTAGCATGTGTATTGTGCTACGTATACAAGGGAGTACTCAGTGATGAGTAACTCAAAGGAGTGGTTAGAACTTGGGCTTAAGTGGCACCTTAGCAAGAAACAATAATTTTGTAGAAAGTTTCCAGACAAAGGATAAGGACTTTTGAGTTTTTAGGGCAGCAAATTATGGAAAGGCAAATGTATGAGAAAATTAATGGTAGATGAGGGTTGGTCTTAGCAAAAACTGTTATGTAGATTCCTCTGGTGCCATCTCTGAGTTTATGAGGGTCCCTGGCTTTGTCAGTGGTTAATTTCTGTCCTTCCTGGTAGAAAGGGGAGAGGGACATCTTTACAAATTTATAGCCAGCTTTGAAGCAAATACAGGGAGTATAGAGAACTTTTCGTGTATCTTTCTTCTCAGCTCAAACATCCTTACGCCAAAATAGTATATTGTGGGGAATAACAAGTAGCAGAATAACAAGAAACCACCACAACTCATTAATACATTTATTCTGAGGATAGTGTTGAAGAAAGGCTTTATGTGTTGAGCAATTTTAATAAATTTTTTTGTGCAGTGTGTTAACAGAGATTTGTTTCATTGAAGTGGCCTAAATCTTTTATGCTATGGTGGAAAATATAGTTCTACTCACCTCTCCATATTATGATATTTCAAAGAAGCTAGACTTCTAAGGGCAATTTCAAAAATATTTTTTTTAATTTTATTTTTCAATTACAGTTGGCCATTTAATATTACTTTATATTAGTTTCAGGTGTACAGCCTAGTAGTTAGGCAATGATATAATATGCAAAGTGATCCTCCCGATAATTCACGTACTCAGCTGACACCATACCTAATTATTACAATACTATTGACTATAGTTTCTATGTGCTGTACTTTACATCCCCAGGACTTTTTTTTCAGATTTACTTTTAGAATAAACATTTGAGAATGGGTAAGTCCCTTACACTGATTGTGATAAGAAAAGAATCTTGATTTTAATTGCCAGATTCTTAAATTACTATATTCTATACATATCAGAGCTACTCAAAATTAATGTACACTTATTATTAAAAAATCAGGCTCTCAAATACCAGACTAAGATTTGAACAAAAAAAAATTTATCCTAAGTGCCACTGGACTTTTTTTTTATGGGAATACATTAAAGATAGAGTTTATGGTTAAAAAAAAAAACAACAGCAACAGTCGACTAATTGAGGGCACACAAATAAAAGGAAATGATTCTTAATGTTTTTGATTCCATTGCTTCGCATTATCAGCAGTGCCTGGATCAGAGTGGTCATCAGTTTGAAAACAGACATTGAGGGAAAAAAAAACACAATTCATTTCTGTAGATTCTTTTAAATTTTGAAAATGAACTGTATGTTAATAAACACTGACTTTATAATCATTCAAAGTGTGTATACATTTTTGGGGGATACACTGTACTTAAGAATGCAGAGTCGGAAAATATCTGTAAACTCTTCCTTCAATGTAATTTGATGTTTTATGTTGATGTTTAAAATCCAATCTGTTTATTTGTGGATTTAGAGTTTTGTCTGAAGTCTTCCGTTTGATGTGTTTTTAAGGCTCCACACTGTTTAATGTCTTCAGAGGAGTTTTGGAGGTGCTGATTGGTGTGGCAGCTGGATTTCTTCTTGGATTTTTCATTAAGTACTTTCCAAGCAGTGACCAGGTAAAAGCAATAATCTGCAAGAAAGTCATGCTCTAAGTATCATTGGAAAAACATTATGGAGCACTTCCTTCAAAGCTGATGTGAAGGGCGGGACTTAGAAAATGCCCCCATTTCATACTGCTTGTTGCTCTCACAGTGCTGCCCGTGAGCTTTATAAAGAGGACTAAATGCATGAGATTTGAATGCAGTCCTGAAAGTTCTTCTCAACTTTTATTCTGTACATTTTAAGTTTCACCGTAAAACAAATAACAATTCCAAAACAATATGATATGCAAGTTTTTAATTTTTTAAAATTCATTTATTTTAACTTTATTTCTATTTGTGTCTATTTGTTTTTACTTATGGTTCATAATACTCAACTAAATTAAGATATAAAATGGCTGTTTGAGCCCCCTTTTTAGTATCAAAATACTTTAGATTCTAATACTATCAAATATACCTTAATGTTTCATTACAATATAGTCCAATATTTCTAACCAAGGAAATCAAAGTTCTTTATGGTTCACAATGATTTCTTAATGATTACTGTCCTAAGTTCCTTAGGATAAATAAATTAATTTTTTTTTTCTATATGAATTGGCATTTTGAAGATTTCAAAGTATTCTGAATGGGATTAGAAACAACTAAAGTAGAAATTTAAGTAAGAAAATTATATTTGAATTTATATTGTACTCCACAAAACTCCTAGTAAAATTGTTTTGTAACAAGCCATTATAAAAACTTTATAAAAAATTTTTTTGAATGCAAAAAGAAAATGACAGGATTTTTCTGATTACACAACAAAATAAAAATGTGTGTAAAATTGTGCATAAAATGATATGGTAAGTTCAATAAAGTGCCACTCTGTTCCATATGGCAGGCACTAGCTACATGTGGCTGAGGCAGATATAGACACTTCCATAGACAGTGCAGATACAGACATTTCCATCACCACTGACCGTTCTATTGGGAAGCTCTGATCTAGTGCAGTCCACTGGTAACCTATGATGTGAGTACTATTCATACAACCATTTTACTGATAAGGAAATCAAAGCTTAGGGAGAAGTGACTTGAACAAGGTCACATAGCTAGACTGCAGTGCAGTAGGGCATTAACTTAGTTATTTCACCTCCAGAGCCTGCATGCATCGAAGTCAAGCATTCTTAAAGACCCTCCTGCCTTCTAATGTTATCAAGAAGTTTAAAGGCTGAACAGCAAAAAGTAAAGGGAAAGAGGTACACATTTCTTAGACTTTAAAAATCAACAACAAAAGTAAATAAACAAAAATAAAACTCAACAACAACAAAACACAACACAATCTATAGCCTCTTAAAGCTTCCTGGTATTTAGAAAAACCAGGAGAGCATCACATTAAAGAATAAACAGAGAATACAGTGGGGCCCTGACTTACGAGTTTAATTCGTTCAGAGACCGAGCTCGTTAAGGAGCTCTTTAACTCAAATTACTCTATCAACTCAATGCAAAAAATCGGCCGAGAAACAGCTGTTATCTCAAAAAACTCGTTAGTCGGGACACTCATAAGTCAAGGCCCCACTGTATCTATAATAAAAATGATAGATATGTCATATCTTTATTCTTTACAAAATGCCCATGATGTATGTAACTAAGTCTTGAAGGTGAAAAAATCAGTAATATGAAATAATGGAGCTAATCAACCTTTTTTCCCCTCCAGAGCAAACTCGTATGGAAGAGAGCCTTCCTTGTCCTGGGGCTCTCTGTGCTAGCGGTGTTCAGCAGCACGTACTTGGGTTTCCCTGGGTCCGGAGGACTCTGCACATTGGTCATGGCTTTCCTTGCAGGCCTGGGATGGGCCAGCAAAAAGGTGCATTTCATTCTGTTCTTCTTGTAACTACTTAGTGACTAGATTAGTTTTTCTTTCCAGATACTTTCTTAACATCAGGTTAATAAAATTATTTTAGCATAAAAGCTATTTTCTATGCAGAGATAAATGTATGCCCAAATGTACACACACACATTCTTTTTTCCTGTTACATACTAGTCTATAACTTGAAATAAATCTTGGTCACATTCCCCTGATGCCTTCCTTATTCTTTGTAAGGGCTGCAGAGTATTGCATTGTATAACTGCACTATACTTTATTAAACCAGTCTTCTACTCACAGACATTTAGATTGTTGCCAGTTTTCTGCTAAACAAAAAAAAAATCCTTATATATATACCATATTTTATAAACTCTAAGACACTAGCAAGTCTAAGAAGAAAGAAAAAGAATGTTAAAGTTAAACTCTGACATGACATCCTAATTTCAGAAATGTTTAAATGTGAGGAAATGTGTATCTTTAAATCAACAAAACATATCTTTGAGTTAATCTACAGGGTAATTTCTAGAAATAAGACTGCTCTATGAAAGAGGAGGCACATTGATATTTTTTTTAATTTTACTTTTCAATTACAATTTAAGTATGTGTTATTTTGTGCTAGTTTCAGGTATACAGCATAGTGATTAGATAATCATATACTTTACAAAGTATTCCCCTCAATATCTCCTGTACCCACCTGACACTGTGCATGATTATTACAACATTATTGACTGTCATTTTGATAGTATCAATTTACTCTTTTTTTTTTCAATTTACTCTTTTATTAAGGCTGTACCATACTGTTAGGTAAAAAGTGGTATCTTGTTTTCTGTTTCTTTGATTAGCAGTAAAATTGAATACTTTTTCATATATTTAATCACTTGTATTTTTTTCTTTTCTTTGATATATCTTTTGTCCAGTTTCTTCTGAAATCTAATGCATTGATTATTGATCTGTAATATATACTAGTATACACGCATATATATGATATTAGCCTTTTTATATAGTGCATTTTTAACATACAAATGACATTTTTATGTAGTGAGATCTATGAGTCTCTTAGGACCTTTCCTCAATAGTTTTTTTTTTTCTTAAGAATCTCTTTATTATGCGGGTAAAATCTTACATATGTCATCGCAAATATTTTTTACAATAGCCTTGACAAATATATATTCGACCCACTTTACAGAAGAGGGCAATGAAGGCTTAGAGATATTAGACAGATTGTCCAGGGTCACAAAGGTGGTACGTGGCAGAGCCAGGATGAGAACACACCTTTAGACTACAGAGGGTCCCTGGCTCACAGTGGTTCAACTTAGGATTTTTTTACTTTACGATGATGGTACACATTCAGTAGAAACTCTAGGTGCAGTTTTGGATTTTGATCTTTACCTGGGCCAGCGATATGCAGTCCGATACCAGATACTTTTCTTGATACTGGGCAGTGGCAGTGAGCCTCAGCTCCCAATCAGGCACGGGATCATGAGTAAACCACCAATACGCCAGAGTACTGTGTTGCCAGCATTTTTTGGATATTGTGTGTTACGTTTTTGTATCCCATCTTGTCAACAAAATGCCCATCTGTGGCTCTTGCTTCTGGTGAGAAGTGAAAGACAATTACTCTTAAGGAGAAACTAAAGATAATTGCTTACCTATAGGCTAACCTAAGTGTCCTGAGCACATTTAGGTAGGCTAGGCTAAGCTATGATGTTTAGTAAGTGAAGTGCATTAAATGTATTTTCAACTTCGATGGATATATTGGGACATAATCTCATCATAAATCAAGGAGTGTCTGTGTATCAATATGATTCCCTGAAGAAAGGAAAGGAAACAAACCTTCATTGAACAATCATGTGGCAGGCACTCTGCATGCCTTTTGTAGTTCAGTACTCAGGAGAGTTCTTACTTCTGGAGACACCCGTCCAGTGCATCCAGATTTTGGACTTCTTTCCCCCTTGGTCTGGAATATAGCATAAGGTCAAGAACTCTGACTGCGTGAGCTAATCTCACCTGTACAATCTTGTACCTATATGATCACATACGAGTAATCTTACTCCTCAGTCCTCAATTTCTGTATCTCTCAAGTGGGGAGGGACAATAGCAACAACTCCTACACTGGAGGACTAAGTGAAATAATCTCTAGAAAACAAAGTGCTTAGTCATAGAATGCACTCAGTAAATAATAGCCCAGATTATTTTTATACCTACTTCCAGAGCAGCGCAGCATAGTAAAAAGAGCATGAAATTTAAAATATGGAGATTGGGATTCCAATCCCAGTTCTACTATTCTCTACCTGTAAATCCCCCCCAAAAGTCACTTCCCTCTCTAACACTCAGTTTTCGTAACTGTAAAATGGAGAAAATAGCAATATCTAAAGAATTGTTGGGACTATTATGTGGGAAAATGGAAATGGAACAGTTGTAAACTCAACAGTTCTATAGCAATATTGTTGACTTGTATTTTGAAAAACTAAAATATTTTATAAAATTTCATTTATGCCTATAGTCTACCCTCCAAATTTCTAAGAAATCCACTGTCTAGGGTACATGGGAAGGTGTATTGCTCAAGGGAGTTGACTATGAAATCACCCAGGAGTAGACTGGGGGGAGGCTGCTGGCCACCGGCGGCTGCTGGCCACCAGGCACTGTAGGATCCTGGCCCTGGAGAAACCACCTGGTCTGCAGGAGCCTGGTGCTGGAGGATTCTGCTGCAGGAGCCACTGAAACCAGGAAGAGCACCTTCCTCTGGCAGTATCTCTTCAGCGCCCTCTACTGACAAAATTTAACATGGTGCTAGCTAGCAAAGGAGAAATATTTTAAAGAGCGTAAAGATGGGGCTCCATTTTCCGCAGAGCGACAGAGAAAAAGGGACGATAAATTAATAACTGGAACAGCCTTTTATATGTAGATTTTATTTTTGTGCATAATTTTAAATGTCCTTAAAAGGTATTTTCTTGTAAAGATAAAATAAAATTGGAAATAAGTTAGAGGTCCATCAATAAAGAAATAATTCAATAAACTGTGGTACTTCCATACCAGATTCCTATGTAGCAATAATGAGGTACCTGGATATATGTGCTAATATGAAATCTAAATCATATTGTTAAATTAAAATGAACATAAAATTTTAAACTCTGAAAGAAAAGTATTATAGTATGTGAACACACACATACCATGCATTCAGAAGTAGTTCTCCTAAGATTACTTTATAAGACTATTTATAATTAAGATCTATCTGCAAAGCAACATTAAACACCTCATATCATAACTGTGTTATAAATATATGCAATTTTTCCTCTGTTCTAGCTAACCTCTTCATTTACAGATGTCACAGAAATAAAGCCAATCTCAGCGCAAATAGACTCAAATTTTATATTAGGAAAATTCTTAGAACTTGTAACTTTATATAATGAAAATTCATATGTATGTTTGTTTTCTTAGGCAGAGGTTCAAAAAATTATTGCAGTTGCCTGGAACATCTTTCAGCCCCTTCTCTTTGGTCTGATTGGAGCAGAGGTATCTGTTTCATCTCTCAGACCAGAAACTGTAGGTAAGAATTTCAAAGTAGTACTTTGGCTAAAATCAACTTTTTATATTCAGTTGAAATACCTTTAGTAGGTATATGTTCAGTAGTTCCCATTGTCACATACTTAATAATGGTTTAAAAGTAGTTGGTTAGTAGGGGGTAACGTGGGGATAAGGACACATATGTAATAAATAAATAAATAAATAAATAAGTAGTTGGTTAGAAAATAATGTTCATCAGCCCTAGGTGGTGCTCAGTGGTTAGAGCGCTGACCCTCAGGATTGCAAGTTCAATTCTGGTCAAGGGCATGTACCTTGGTTGCAGGATTAAACCCCCACCCTGGTCGGGCATGTGTGGGAAGCAACCAAACAAGGTGTCTCTCTCACATTGGTGTTTCTCTAAAAATCAATAGAAAAAAATACCCTCAGGTAAAGTTTAATAAAAAGAAAATAATGTTCATCAGTCTAAGATAGTAAATTAAATATCTTTACAATTATTCCTTGTAAAAAAAAAAAAAGTAACACTGCTTACTACTTTCAAAAAATGCAGGCCTTAAAATATTTTTTTCTATTCAGAGTGTTCATCTAGCCTTGTTCTGATCAAGGGCCAGAATTTTAAAGATAACTAGTCAGTTCTATAATATGTACCCATGGAATGGAAATGTTTGTGCATTCATTTTTTTAAAAATTTATTTAAGCATTTAAAAGCCACCATATTAAAACTCTCTTGATTCATAGCATCGTATTTGAAGTTAATTTGCACATATATGGTGTATTCTCTGTATTTCCTCCTTTCCTCGCATCACAATATGCTCCCTCCATCCTAGGGATCCCATCCCTGCCACCTCCTTCTGGATCTCACACATAGATTCTTGTCATACATCTTTGAATGTATTTGTCATGTACATACTTGTCAGTTTCTCCTCTTCAGAATTTAAACAGAGTCTAAGCTCTCTTATCTTAAAATAATATTCTTTCATTCTAATACATGCTACAGCATGGGTGGACATAGATGAGGACAGTATACTATTTGAAATAAGCCAGTTACAGACACAGACTGTATGATTTAACTTTTATGAGGTATTGAATATAGTCAAATTCATAGAGACAGAAAGTAAATGAGGTTGCCAAGGTTTTAGGGGAAGAGTTCTAGTGATTAGTTGCATAAAAATGTGAATGTTTAATACTACATAGCTGTATACTTAAAAATGGTTAAGATGGCCCTAGCTGGTTTGGCTCAGTGGATAGAGCATCAGCCTGCAGACTGAAGGGTCCCTGGTTCGATTCCTGTCAAGGGCACATGCCTGGATTGTGGGCTTGGTCCCCAGTAGGAAGCATGGAGGAAGCAGCTGGTCAATGACTCTCTCTCATCATTGATGTTTCTATCTCTCCCTCTCCCTTCCTCTTTGAAATCAATAAAAATATATATTTTTAAAATGGTTAAGATGATAAATTTTATGTGTATTTTAACACAATTAAAATTTATTCTTTCTCCATTTCACTTCCCTCCTCACTTACTAATCTACCTCTCTATTCCTTTTTTCAACTTTTCCAAAGAGGTAAGTAACCATATCCCCTTTTTCCATTTTAACTCCTATTCTTTAATTCAATACATTAAAAAAAAAAAAAATTTTAGACCAGCTTCTGCCCTTTCACACAACCAACCCTGCTCTGATGAAGGTCATATTGCTAAGACCACGGAATGTGTACCGGTCTTTATTTTATTTGAGCTCTCAACAGCATTGGGAGATCTTTAAGGCACTTTTTACATTGAAGTCTGAAATTATATTTTCCAGAGCCTTCTGAGTCCTCCTTTTTAAAAAAAAAAAATGTTTTTATATATATACTAGAGGCCCAGCGCACAAAAATTTGTGCACTTGGTGGGGAGGTCCCTCAGCCCGGCCTGTGCCCTCTTGCAGTCTGGGACCCCTCGGGGGATGACCACCCGCTGGCTTAGGCCTGCTCCCCGGGGGATTGGGCCTAAGCTGGCAATCAGACATCTCTCTGGCAGCCCGGCAGCCCTCGGGGATGTTCACTTGCCAGCAGGGAGCAGACCCAAGCTGCAGTCAGACATCCTTAGTGCTGCTGAGGAGGCAGGAGAGGCTCCCACCACCACCGCTGTACTGGCAGCCATCAGCCTGGCTTGTGGCTGAGCAGAGCTCCCCCATGTGGGAGCACACTGACCACCAGAGGGCAGCTCCTGCATTGAGCGTCTGCCCCCTGGTGGTCAGTGTGTGTCATAGTGACCAGTCATTCCCAGTCTTTCTGCTTTTAGGGTTAGTTTGCATATTACCCTTTTACTATATAGAATAGAGGCCTGGTGCACAGGTGGGGGCCGGCTGGTTTGCCCTGAAGGGTGTCCTGGATCAGGGTGGGGGTCCCACTGGGGTGCCTGGCCAGCCTGGGTGAGGGGCTGATTGCTCTTTGCAGCTGGTCACACCCCCTTCAGGGTAGGGGTCCCCACTGGGGTGCCTGGCCAGCCTGGATGAGGGACTGATGGCTGTTTTCAGGCTGCCTGCACCCCCTTTAGGGTGGGGGTCCCCACTGGGGTGCCTGGCCAGTCTGGATGAGGGGCTGAGGGCCGTTTTCAGGCTGGCCTGTGACTGAAGCTCCCAGCCTCTCCTTTTTTTTCTTTTTTTTTATTCTGGGATTTATTTACCTTCTATAATTGAAACTTTGTTGCCGCTCCAGCTCTGAGGCCACGGCCTGCTGAAAGCAGGTATCTGCAGTTTGTTTAGCTTCTATAATTGCAACTTTGTTGCTTAGAGTAGCGCTCAGAGCCCCGCCGCAGCAGAGAGGAAGCTTTGCTTCCTCCATCACTGGAGCAAGCAAGCCTCCTGCTCGCTTCAGCTGCATGGCTGCCGGCTGCCATCTTTGTTGGCGGTTAATTTGCATATCTCACTGATTAGCCAATGGGAAGCATAGCAGAGGTACAGTTAATTTCAATCTTTCTCTATTATTAGATAGGATTTTTTTTTATTGATTATTCCTTTACACTCATATATATGTGGCTTAAATGCTGCTCTTTATCTAAGTTCTTTCCAAAGGTTCTATGCTACTTACCCTACATCACATCTCTGAGCTCACCTACACTCAGTGGTTTTGATTATGAACTACATACTTCCAAAATCTTTATCTCTAAATCAATATATTCAGTTGCTAATTGGATATTCCATTTATAAGTCCTACAAAATTTCAAACTCAGTGTGTCTAAAACTTTCTCATCATCCTCTCCCCAAACTTTTAATGTTCCCCTTTGAGAGTGGTATCATTTCTTGTACCTTATACTTCAGACAACAAATACTTTGGAAAATTTACCATCATGGGAGAAATATTAGTACCCTTCAATAAAGAGCCACATAGCTTTTCTATAAAGAAACCATATTCACAATAGATTCACAATAGATCCCCAGCAATGTTTACCTGGTGTTTTACAGCCTTTTAAACTTAAGAAAGTTTATCCTTTCTGAATTTCTTTTTTTTTCAACTGTAAAATAAGAAAAATTACCCCACTGGTTGTAAGGATTAAGAAAAGTAATATACTTAGGGCTTAATACAGAATGTGGCACAGAGTAAACACTTAACAAATGTTCCTTTAAAAAAAGCCACCCGAACAATCAAGGCTTAACTACAACAAGACTGCGCACAAAGACCACTAGGGAGTGCACCAAGAAAGCATAAAAAATGCGGAGACAAAGAAACAGGACAAAATTGTCAATGGAGGATATTGTGTTCAGAACCACACTTTTCAGGTCTCTCAAGAACTGTCTAGAAGCCGCCGATAAACTTATTGAGATCTACAAGAAATCTAATGAGACCCTCGATGTTGTGACAAAGAACCAACTAGAAATTAAGCATACACGGACTGAAATAAAGAATATTATACAGGCTCCCAACAGCAGACCAAAGGAGCGCAAGAATCAAGGCAAAGATTTGAAATGCGAAGAAGCAAAAAACATCCAACCGGAAAAGCAAAATGAAAAAAGAATCCAAAAATACGAAGATAGTGTAAAGAGCGTCTGGGACAGCTTCAAGCGTACCAACATCAGAATTATAGGGGTGCCAGAAGATGAGAGAGAGCAAGATATTGAAAACCTATTTGAAGAAATAATGACAGAAAACTTCCCCTACCTGGTGAAAGAAATAGACTTATAGGTCCAGGAAGCGCAGAGAACCCCAAACAAAAGGAATCCAAAGAGGACCACACCAAGACACATCATAATTAAAATGCCAAGAGCAAAACACAAAGAGAGAATCTTAAAAGCAGCAAGAGAAAGAAACTCAGTTACCTACAAGGGAATACCCATACGACTGTCAGCTGATTTCTCAACAGAAACTTTGCAGGCCAGAAGGGAGTGGCAAGAAATATTCAAAGTGATGAATGCCAAGAACCTACAACCAAGATTACTTTATCCAGCAAAGCTATCATTCAGAATTGAAGGTCAGTAAAGAACTTCACAGATAAGGAAAAGCTAAAGGAGTTCATCACCACCAAACCAGTATTATATGAAATGCTGAGAGGTATCCTTTAAGAAGAGGAAGAAGAAGAAAAAGGTAAAGATACAAATTATGAACAACAAATATGCATCTATCAACAAGTGAACCTAAGAATCAAGTGAATAAATAATCTGATGAACAGAATGAACTGTTGATTATAATAGAATCAGGGACATAGAAAGGGAATGGACTGACTATTCTTGGGGGGGAAATGGGTGTGGGAGATGCGGGAAGAGACTGGACAAAAATCGTGCACCTATGGATGAGGACAGTGGGGGGGGTGTAAGGGCAGGGGGGGTGGGAACTGAGTGGAGGGGAGCTATGGGGCGGGGAAAGATGAACAACTGTAATAATCTGAACAATAAAGATTTAATAAAAAACATAAAAATAAAAAATAAAAAAATGAAAAATAAAATAAGCCATCCTATTATTTACCAGTCACCTTAGCTATGCTTTCCTCAGATCCAGTAACCTGCAGCAGCCTTTGTCACAGTCCCTTATTTTGCAAATCAGGATGAACTTATCTCTATCAGCAAAGGAATTTAAAGGACTGAATGAAGTACTGTACATGTGAACCAGGCCTAATGGTCAGTCAGTGTAAACACAAGTGCAGTAAGACACAGGGGCTGATAAACATTATGAATATCACCTCTGTTCTTATACTCTGTAACGACTTCTCAACCATTATGATGAAAATACTGATTTTCTCTTCTTCTTTCTCTTTTACCAATATATTTATACTTCACTTACCTTACAGTATATTAACTGGTTGTTTATGCTTCTGGTTTCCTCTGGCTTAGAAGTACATTGAGGCAAAGTCTGTACATTATATATATACTAGAGGCCCGGTGCACAAAAATTTGTGCACTCAGGGGGGGGGGGGAGGGTCCCTCAGCCCAGCCTGTGCCCTCTCGCAGTCTGGGACCCCTCGGGAGATAACGACCTGATGATTTAGGCCTGCTCCTGGGTGGCAGAGGGCAGGCCCAATCCCTAGGTGCAGCCCCTGGTTGGGCTCAGGGCAGGGCCAATTGGGGAATTAGGGCGCCGCCCCCTGTCATGCACAGAGCAGGGCAGATAGGGAGGTTGCGGTGCCACCCTCATTAACGCTCAGGGTAGGGCCGATTGGGGGGTTGGGGCACCGCCCCCTGTCACACTCAAGGCAGGGTCGATGGGGAGGTTGTGGCGTCACCCCCTGTCATGCACAGAACAGGGCCAATCAGGGGGTTGGGGTGCTGCCCCCTGTCACGCACAGAGCAGGGCCCATCAGGGGGGTTGGGGCTCCGTACCCTGTCGCGCACAGAGCAGGGTCAATCAAGGGGTTGGGGAGCTCCCCCCTGTCACTCACAGAGTAGGGCCGATGGGGGAGTTGGGGCACCGCCCCCTGTCACACTCAGGGCAGGGCGGATCAGGGGGGCTGGGGCGCCACCCTCTATCACCCACAGAGCAGGGCCGATCAGGGGGTTGGGGCGCCGCCACTGTCACACTCAGGGCAGGGCCGATGGGGAGGTTATGGCTCTACCCCGTCACACACAGAGCAGGGCCCATGGTGGGGCGGGGGGCGGGTTGGGGTGCCGCACCCTGTCACACACAGAGCAGGGCTGATCAGGGGGTTGAGGCGCCGCACCCTGTCACACACAGAGCCGCAGGGTGATCAGGGGGTTGGGGAGCTCCCCCCTATCAGGCACAGAGCAGGGCTAATCAGGGGGTTGGGGCGCCCTCCCCTGTCACGAACAGAGCAGGGCGGATAGGGAGGTTGTGGCCCTGCCCCGTCACACACAGAGCCGCAGGGCGATCAAGGGGTTGGGGAGCTCCCCCCTATCAGGCACAGAGCAGGGCTGATCAGGGGGTTGGGGCGCCTTCCCCTGTCACGAACAGAGCAGGGCGGATAGGGAGGTTGTGGCCCTGCCCCGTCACACACAGAGCCGCAGGGCGATCAGGGGGTTTGGGCGCTGCCCCCTGTCACACTGATCCCGGTGCCGGGAGGCCTCTCGGCTCCGCTGATCCTGGTGCTGGGAGGCATATTACCCTTTTACTATATAGGATAGAGGCCTGGTGCATGGGTGGGGCTGGCTGGTTTGCCCTGAAGGGTGTCCTGGATCATGGTGGGAGTCCCCACTGGGGTGCCTGGCCAGCCTGGGTGAGGGGATGATGGCTGTTTGCAGCTGGTCACACACCCTTCAGGGTGGGGGTCCCCACTGGGGTACCTGCCAGTCTGGGTGAGGGGCTGAGGGCTGTTTTCAGGCCGACTGAAGCTCCCAACTCCTCCTTTTTTTCTTTTTCTTTTTTTTAATTCTGGGCCAGCTTTAGCTCTGGCTCCAGCTCTGAGGCTTCTGCTGCTGAAAGAAGGTATCTGGTTTGTTTCGGTTCTATAATCGAAACACTGTATAACTCCAGCTCTGAGATCCCGGGCTCGCTGAAAGCAGGTTTCTGGGGTTTTATTTAGCTTCTATATTTGTTACAATGTTTCTTAAACTGCAGGCTCAGAGGCTGGCAAAGCAGGCAGGGAACATTGGTTTCCTCTGTCACTGAAGCAAGCAAGCCTCATGTTCGCTTCAAGCTGCCTGGCTGCCGGCCGCCATCTTGGCTGGCAGTTAATTTGCATATCTCGCTGATTAGCCAATGGGAAGGGTAGTGGTCGTACGCCAATTACCATATTTCTCTTTTATTAGATAGGATTTTGTGTAGCCAGTACTTAATCCAAATCCTGTCATGCATTATTATCATTTAGTAAATTATTGTTGAATAAACACATGGGAGAAAGTGTAGTTTTTGCTGTAATGCGTAAGAGAAATAACACTCAAATCTCTTTTGCAGAAAATCAAATATGTTTAATTAAGTCTTCATTTTATTCTAGAGAAAATACTTTCTTTTAAATAAATGGTCTGATTGATCCTTAATGCAGGTGTGGGCAAAAGTAGGTTTACAGTTGTAATACAAATAAATAATACAATAATTAATAAATAATAAGCTGTGTTTCATGTACTTTCAACTGTAAACCTACCTTTGCCGACCCCTATATTAATATTTTGATAAATTATACCTAACCATTTTTGTCTTTTGAATTTTTTAATAGATTTATATTACTGCTGTTGATAGTATTTTGAATCAATAACTATGAGATTTGATTTCTCCCCCAATATTTCATTATGTCTAAAAATTGAGTATTTCTTACAGGCCTTTGTGTTGCCACCTTGGGCATTGCAGTATTGATACGAATTTTGACTACATTTCTGATGGTGTGCTTTGCTGGTTTTAACATAAAAGAAAAGATATTCATTTCTTTTGCATGGCTTCCGAAGGCCACAGTCCAGGTAATGGTAGCTAAAGAATGGCTTTACAGTTTAACTCCCGTTTCTATTTGATACCTTGAAATTTTGAATGAAAGAGCTTAGTGATTTGTAAAAAGAGTTTTACTCATCTATTCTTTAAAAGTTTTATTTTTGGTATATTGATTCCTTAAATATGACAGCTCATTTAAATTTATTTAGATCAGTGGTTCTCAACCTTGGCTGCACATTAGAATCACCTGGGAATCTTTTTAAAATCCTGATTTCTGGGCCTCATCCTCCGGAAATTCTGTTTCTTTGTTACTAATGTTGTGGCCCCATCTCATTACAAAGAAACAGAATTTCCGGAGGATGAGGCCCAGAAATCAGGATTTTAAAAAGATTCCCTGGTGATTCTAATGTACAGCCAAGGTTGAGGACCACTGCTTTAGAGTATGATTTGCTGCAAATATAATATATTCCTAATTGTATCACATATTTTTTTTATCACTGAGGATATGTTTTTTTGTTTGTTCAATTGTTTTATTTTAGAGAGAAAAAGGAAGGGAGAGAGAGAAACAAACATTATGTGAGAGAGAAACATCCATCAGCTGCCTCCTATACTCAACCCCATCAGGGATCAACCTGCAACCTGGGTATGTGCCCTGATCAGGAATTGAATCCACGACTTTTCAGTGTACAGATGATGCTCCAACCAACTAAGCCACACTGGCCAGGGCTGCATTGCATATTTTCTAGAGTAATTATAGCAAATGAGATTTAACTGTTCCATCCCTGATTGTTTTCCAGTTATTTAAGTATCTATTTCATGAAATGAAAATCAAATGTTCATACTTTAGGTATTTTGGGGGGATGTGTATGCTCTGTAACTACATGCCAGATGTTGTACAGTTGTGGGCTTAAGTATTATTTCAAAAAAGTTTTTTCTTTCCATCAGACTTTCAAAGATGTCTGAGATATAATGGCTAAGAATACTGTGAGGTTAATATAGTGCAATAGATACAATAGTTTCTCCCTCAGTGTCTTCAGCTTCCACACTACTTCTGGTAACTTTAGTAAATAAATGTTAAAAGAATCCCTCTAGTAGCTTTGATATGAAATATTTGTTTCTAGCACCAAAACCAGTTTGGCTCACTGGATAGAGTGTTGGCCTGTGGACTGAAAGGTCCCAGGTTCGATTCTGGTCAGGGGCATGTACCTTGGTTGCGGGCACATCCCTAGTGGGAGATGTGCAGGAGGCAGCTGATCGATGTTTCTCTCTCATCGATGTTTCTAACTCTCTATCTCTCTCCCTTCCTCTCTGTAAAAAATCAATAAAATATATTTTAAAAAAGAGAAATATTTGTTTCTAAACATTAAACTTTAAAAGATGGCACCTTCCTGTTATCAAAGAAAAATTTAAAAAACAAGATATATTATCTAGGAATATAGATAATATTTGTGTTGAAGAATGTATGTTCTGTGAAACAAGTATTGTATAGAATTTTCTTTTTTCTCCCTTTGCCACAGCACAAGACTTTTTATACATTTTTTCTATATTAGTTGTTTTTCAAACTTTTTTGTTCATATGATACTATAAAAATATACTTTAAATCACAATTCAGTATACATATACACTCCCAAAGATACACATACATACACATACACACACAAAAGAGAACTGAAAGAGAAATATACAGTTGACCCTTGAGCAACACAGGGGTCAGGGGTCAAAAATTCATGTTTAACTTTTGACTCCCCCAAAATTCAGCTGTCCCTCTGTATCAGTGAGGGATTGGTTCCAGGACCCACCTGTGCTTACCAAAATCTGAGGATGCTCAAGTCCCTTATATAGGGTGTCCCAAAATTCACGCAAGATTTGGAATTGAATTGAATTGAATTGCAAATCTTGCGTGAATTTTGGGACACCCTATATAAAGTGGTGTAGAACAATGCATACACTCAGCCCTCTGCATCTGCAGATTCCCAACTGCAGGTGGAAAATGCTTTTTTTTTTTCCACATGCAAAAGAAGTTGATCCTTTTAAAAAAAAAAAAATACCATATATAAAATTAACATAAAACAGATAAGATCTAAACATCAGAGCTAAAACAAGAACACTTTTGGGGGGAAAAAACACAGTGGAAAATCTTCATGACATTGCATTTGGAGATGATTTCTTGAATATGACATCAAAGATATGGATATGGCATCAAAAATATGGGAACAAAAGAAAAATAGATAACCAGGACTATGTCAAAATTCAAATCTTCTGCGTATTAAAGGGCACTGTCCAAAGCCAACTTCAGTTCCTGCCCTGGTGGGTCTTATAGTTTAGCGAGGCAGACGGCTCCAGACAAGTGTGGCGCATGCTCTGAGAGGGACATTGTAGAACTGAACTACAGAGGGTGTAAAACTGCAAACTCCTCAGGGGAGACCCGCAGAGCAGTGCAGCCATGGGCAAGCTGGACAGGTTTTCTGTCTCAGCTTTGTGTTATAGTCCCTGGGGCAAGGCTTAAGCAATTCGGGAAAAGATGCTTATGTAACTCTTTTGTAGTTGAAGATTCATTTTTCACTTGTCCTTAGAACAGAACACTGCTGGTCACCTTCTGAGTCCTGCACCATCAAATGTTGGTTTGCTTTCTGTGCCATCCTCTTCGGCTGGATAATTCCAGATCCTTTCACTTTTCTGCTTTAAGACCCTATGGCAGCGGTTCTCAACCTGTGGGTCGAGAGCCATTTGGGGGTCGAACGACCCTTTCACAGGGGTCGCCTATAGTGTAAGCCGATAATGCCTGCCATGTGGGGGTGCTTGGTGTAGGCGATCCTGATTCACTACTAGTCTCATGTGGGGCTTTCGATAAGGATCCAAACTGGGCAGGAGAAATCCTGCCTCCACCCAGGGGAAGTGTCTTGAAGGCCCCCCCTAAGGCCCCCATACCTGCCTCCCACACCACCCTGTCCTCCCTTAAGTCTGGGCTTCGGAGAGCCCTGATTTGGTCTGCACTCTCAGGCGGACTCTGCGGGCGTGGGTGCGCCCCCAGAAGCTGTTTTCAGTCATGGTTAATTGAATTCACAGTTGCAAAACCTAGAGATATGGAGGGCTGGCTGTATATTTATTGAAAAAAATTCATGTATAAGTGGACCTGCAGAGTTCAAACCCGTGCTGTTCAAGAGTTGGATATATATCATCATGTGTGCAGTCCTTTCCAAGAATTCATGAAACATTGAATTAGTTATGGTACCAGGTAACCTGCAATAACAAAGAAGCCTCAATACAGGGACTAAATTAGATAGCTTTTTTCTTTCTCACCAGCAGTCCAGCAAGGGTATCCCAGAGCTGGCAGGGTGACCACTGTCCTCAGCATGTGCCTTTCAATGAGTCCAGCTTCCATAATTTCTCACCCAGTGGGAAAGGGGGAAAGAATAAGGTACAAGTGTCTATTTGTTTTCAGGGAACAGCCGGAAGTAGCATTTATCACTTCCACTCACTTCTCAGTGGCCTTAGATACAGAGCTTCATCTTGCTGCAATGAGGGCTGAAAAAAAGTGTCTGTATGGACAGCAATGAGACCAGCTAAAACTCAGGAATTAAAATAAGGAAAAAGGGACATTCAGATATTTGTGGTCAATTAGTAGTCTCTGCCATTGTGTCTCATGCACACTAATATTTCCTCTTCTGTTTCACTGTCCTAGAGGCTAACGTGTTCAGTGGAATAAGGGGAAAACCAGGTAGACTGATATATGATTTTCCCATATGCACTAATACTGTATTTTGCCTCTAAAAGGAAAACAAGAAGTTTTATAAGATTTTCCAGTAGATAAACTTTAAATGAAACATTTCACCAACCCTGAGCCAAAGAGTTAACCAAATACCTAGTTTTGAAGGTACTACCACTTCCAAGTTTCATGATGTTTAAAAATTAGTTTTGATTCTAAAACAATACATATTCTTTTTTTTCATTTAAAACTTCATCATCTTCCAGTAAGTATCACTACATATTTTTTTCATCTTGTTCTTTCTTAATTCCAAATTCCTAAAGATGAAAAATTGAGATGCCCAGTAACTTTCCTCTTTAGTCAGAAGAAGTTTAATATAAAGAATCATGTTATAATTAGCTAAATCATGAGTCTGTGTTCACCTTGTGTTCTGAAATATATTTGCCTGATATTTTTTGTAACCTTACCTTATGCAGAGAGGTATAGATGAATCATCATTCTTTCCCCATGCAAAGGCAGGGGCAGTTTTCAAACAATCAGAACCAACTTCAGTATACTTTGAAAGAAGACTTACTGAACTTTCTTAGTTGAGCAAAAGAATAAGCAATTTTCCGTAGCTGGTTTGGCTCAGTGGATAGAGTGTCAGCCTGTGGCCTGAAGGGTCCTGGGTTCAACTCTGGTCAAGGGCACATCCTGGGTTGTGGGCTCGATCCCCAGTAGGGGGCATGCAAGAGGCAGCCGATCAATGATTCTTTCATCATTGATGTTTCTATCTCTCTCTACCCCTCCCTTCCTCTCAGAAATCAATAAAAAATATTTTTTTTAAAAAAAAGATTATTTTTTTAAAAGAATAAGCAATTTGTTTAAAAATAATTGACCTTCTATGTGTTTATCTTATTGTGTTTCCAAATTTACCTTTAAACTTTTATAGGCTGCAATAGGATCTGTAGCTTTGGACACAGCAAGATCACATGGAGATAAACAGTCAGAAGAATATGGAATGGACGTGCTGACAGTGGCGTTTCTGGCCATCCTCATCACAGCCCCAATTGGAAGTCTACTGATTGGCTTGCTGGGCCCCAGGCTTCTCCAGAAAGCTGACCATCAAAATAGAGATGAGGAAGTTCAAGGGGAGACTTCTATACACCTTTAGAGGTGAAAGGAAAGAATGCTGAATATGATGATTAGAAAGCTGCTAACAGAGGCTACTTTTATCAAGATGAATCCTGAAATATGTAATGTGTAAGCTTAAAATGAATAGAACCAAAAGTGTGACTATTTCTTTAAACAGCATTTTTAGCCATTACCCTTTCCATGTGGATGGTGATGTTCTGCATCTCCAACCTGATCTCTCTACCTTATTATTTTTTCAAACACCCCTTCATCATATATCTCAATTTGTACAGGGGCATATACACTTGAATGTGCTACCACAATTTAAAATTCACCTGGGAAAGACCAAGTTCGGAATCCTGTTCTGCCAGCCAACAGCTTTCTCCGACTCACTGTTAGTCACAGCTTCATGGTGCGTGGTCACCCAGCTTCTCGTGTGCTGAGTTGGTTCCTTTTTTTTTTTTGCTCATCTTTTCTTTTTTGTTTTCTACTCTCTTTCCCTGTTAATCTGCCTCACCTCCACTTCTACCCCTTTTATTAGAACAGATTCGTCCTGCCAAAATATTAAAGTACACAAAGCATCTTCATTGGTTCTTCCTCTTGCGCTTTCTAGACAACAGAAGCCCTTGTCCTGACTCCTAGGTGGCTACACAGAGTCCCCCTTTCAGTGGCGCCTCTGGGTTTGCCTCCCCCTAAAGAGCGCCCTGTCCAGCCCTTTCTTATTTGTTTCAGGCTCTTCCTGTTCTCAGGTGAGAGGTAACTCATTTTCAAATCTGTGCCAACCTCATAAGTTGCTGTAATGAAGAAACAAACAAACAAATACCAAGTAGAAATGTATTTGTGTGTCATGAAACTGACTGGCTGATTGATGCTGACAGGGTTCCTCTGCTCATGAGGTAACTCAGACCCACCCTCTGTCTGGAGGCTCTGCTCTGCTCAGGACACAGGTTAAAGATGGGTCTCCTTTCTAGCCCTCAGGACGAAGGGAAAAAGGAAGTCCAAGGCAAGCAATTTGTTTTTAAGGAAGTGGCAGGAGGGTGGACACACGTCTCCCTTACATTCTATTGGTGACAACCACACCAGCTGTGAGGAGGCAGAGAAGCATTCACATTCCTACCAGGAAGGAAAGATCAGATTGGGGAGCCAGAGGTGCCTTTGTGCTGGCAGGTACCATCACTTGGTCACATAGTCTTGCATTTTAACAAGGGCTTTCACTCTTTAACTAAAAGAGTGACTTCTGTGGCTGGAATTTCAGACATTGGGACATGCCAGCAGAGAGGATAGTAGAGGAAAAATTCATCTGCATGGGTCACACTGTATCCTACTTACTCAACTATCTCTGCTTTTGTGTATCACCCATAAGTGCCTTTATTATTGTTGGTCAACTCCTAGTTGCTAGGATAATCATGCTAAAATACTGTTTGCAACTTTTGTCATGTTGTTTGTATACATAAATAATTTATTACTTCTTGTCATATCCCATCCAAACCATTTAACCTAGAATTCAAAATTCTATCTAACCTTGAATTATATAATATGTAGTAAATGAGTGGATTATGAATATTCTGATTCCACCAAAGTGATCTGTGTACAGCCTCTCCGTGCCCCTTCTCCCATGATGTTCACCTCCATTCAAAACTAGCTTAATTTGTATTCAGCTAACATACTATAAAATCATAACAGGCTTCATTTTTATGTCAACCTGATTCTGATTACTCTGTGACTTTGGTTACTGTATTCCCTTACTGTGTATGTTTTCAATTTGGACTGAATTTATACCAAAGTTCAGATGGATCTTTCAAATTGAACTTCATTGGTTAGGTGCATCTTGGTGGTAACACCATATACTAAATGCTCTTGTGTTTCTTCTTACAAGGGTACTAATTTCATCATCAGGGCCCTACCCTTAGGTCGTCATCTAAACCTAATTATTCCCCCATAGGCCCCAACTCTAAATACCATCAAAATATGAATTAGCAGGGAGATGCAGAGGACACAGTTCAGTTCAGAGCAGGGGTGTCATACTTCCAAGGATGGCGCTAAACAAACATTGAAAATTCTTGTTCTTCAGTGCCCTTTCTATGCCTATAGTCAGTGTCATTCATATCACCTCTGAAAAGTATTTTTTTTAGATAGAATTATTAGGTTTCAGACCTTTATTCTGCTTTCACATTTCAGTGTTTTTCTCTTTGGCATTAACGTCAAATAACCTTGATTGAACTTGGGTGTGCTCAAAATTTCCTGAGCCATACATTTGCAAACAATCTCATCCATTACATTCTTTAAAAATAATATTTGATTATTTTTTCTGATTATAAAATAACATTTCAATTACAGAAAATTTAGAACACAGGAAAGTACAAGAAACAAAACTGAGACTACTCTTAGTGTAAATACCCATTTTATTCAGATTCTTTTAAATTTTACCCTTGCAGTTCTGAAGAATGTGTTATTTTCATAAAGATATAGTCTCCATTGAATTAGTTGGGCCAAAGTTAACATAAATGCATACATTTGAGTTTTGTGAAGATATATATATTGACGACTTTTTATTGTATATAATGAATGTTAAGCCTTCCAAAAATTTTTATTCACCTGTTCTAATATTCATTTTGCAATAAATAAAATAAAAATCCTTGCCATCGTGGAGCTTATGTTTTAAAATTCATCCATTCACTCATTCAAATACACTTAAAAGCATGTTTGCTACATGCCAGGCTTTATGCTAGCTACTGGGGAATACCGTGATGAACAAGGGCTCTGTTTTTAATGGAACTTGAATTCTAGTGGGTGGTTGAAACTTGGGAATACAGATGTAAATAAGACATTCTTGCTCTCAAGAATCTTACAAGGAAGTAGGAGATGTTCAAACAGCTGTAATCCAAGTCAATGAATGATTCAAACGTGTTCTCAAAGATCAAAGATGGTGGTAGAGTAGGTGAATGTTACACTTACCTCCTCCCAGGACCAAACTGGAATTATAACTAAAATATAGAGCAATCAACCTGAATAACCAACTAAAGACTAGCTGAAGAGGAGTCTTAAAACCAAGGATCTAGAAAAGAAACCACATCAAGACTGGTAGGAAGGTCAGAGGTGCAAAAAGGGCTGGCCCTGCACCCATAGGTGGCAGCTGAGCTTCTGGAGGAATATCTCAGCTATAGGGGTTCCCCATAGAGGCCTCCAAGCCAGACTCCCCAGCCCAGAGCACTAGAGCCAGAAAGAGGCGCCCATATAACATCTGGCTGTGAAAATCAACAGGAAGACAGACCAGCATGGCTCAGCAGGTGAGCATCCACCCATGAACCAGGAGGTCACTGTTCCATTCGTGGTCAGGGCACATGCCCAGGTTGCAGGCTCTGTCCTGGGTGTGGGGCATGCAGGAAGCATTCTATCAATTATTCTCCCTCAGCATTGATATTTCTATCTCTCCCTCTCCCTTCTCTGAAATCAATAAAAATATATTTTTCAAAACTAAACTATCAGTGCTGAACTTTCGGCCCAGACAGGATTGACCCCAGAGACTGCTATTTTATGGTATTTAAGCTGACTTAAGGAAAACAAGATCTGACTTGTGACAAGTTACTCCTGGTACGTGCAGCAGAGGGCGGTGGAGGGGGGGGGGGGGCGCGCTACGATTTGGTCACAGGGTTCTGTAATGTCAACTATGTGCCTGGATTTTTACAAACCAATAGGTTAAGATTCAGAAGAGACGTCGAGATTTGAAAAGGGTTGAATAGACCGAAATAAACACCTGGCGGTCCGGGTGAATACGGGAAATCTCGTGTCCACAGTGGGAGCAGCTACAACGCCACTTACCAGTAAAGGCTCCGCCGCCACCAGCCCCACTCAGGCCCCGCCCCCCGCCCCCAGGCCCCGCCCCTCCGCCCTCCCCGGGGCCAGCGAGCCTTTCACCCTCCGGCCTCCCGCAGCGTGTGCCGCGATTGCTGGGCGCAGGGGAGGCTCCCGGCAGCGGGGCGCTAAAGGAGTTGTAGGTACGGTCCATTTTCCTCCACTCTCTTCCTTTCCAGGCCCTTGGCTTTTTCAAGGAGCATTATAAAGACTGCTGTAGCCAGGACATAGAGATGGTGGCAGCCCTACCCCGCCTTGGTTTATTGCCCCGGGACAGTTGGAGGGCAGCCACCATAAACCCCCCCATGGGACTGAGCGAGGTGAGGAGAGGGTAACCAGGTTTCCCACGCGGAGCGGAGGGGCTAGGAAATAGGGCTGTGGGAACTCCCTGCTCCACCAGGGACGCCAGCAGCCAGGTCTCAACCCGGCCCTGGACCCGGAGGGGACAGAGGCGGATGGGAAACAGCGCTGCCCCGGGGCGAGGTCAGGGCTGGGACAGGCATGGACCCTGAGTTTCCATCCCCATCACGGCTCCACTCCCTACCCTCAAAGCTTCACCGTCTCCATTAGCCTTGGCTGTGCCCCCGCCTGGCTTCTGCCAGACTGCGCCTCAGTGTTCCCATCCGGAGCATGGGTGACCCCTCCGGCTGGTTCCCTGGCAGCCAGACCCCGGGCCGCCCTGCCGCCTTCCAGGGCTGTCACCAGTGGCTGTTTACGCCAAGGTGCACCTAGCGGAGCCTTCAGACAGCAGGGGGCGGGGGCAGGGACCGTGCCCATCCCCATCGGCTTAGTGTTGGTGGCAGCCCCAGGGGCTCCGAGGCTTCTGCGGGAGAGCGAGGCGGGGCAGCTGCTCTTCCCACCTCTAGTCTCCTTTCCGCAAGGCCCCAGCTCCCCCTGGGCCTGTCTCTCGCCCTCCCTTTACCTTGTCGTTTGCACGCAGCGACCTGGGACAGCTCACAAACCCGGCCCCTGAATCCCAGCGTGGGTACTGTTTACTCGGATACCCTCTCCCATCTCCTTCCTGCCGAGTCTTCAGGGCCTGCTTCAGTTATCACCACTTCCTCCAGGAAGCAGGCCCTGATTTAGCCCACAATTGACTGCTTTCTGATGAGGGCTCCCACGGCGGGGTAGGAGCCCTCTTATGAGAGCGCGGACCTCAGCTGGCCTGTATCCGTTTCCTGTGCATGGGAGCATCCTCCTCTTGTGCTAAATCCTTACCGACTGAACCAACCCGTGGGCTGCGCTGGGCAGTGCGCAGAGCTCGGGCTCGTTGTCAGGGACATGTGCTCGAGTTCTGACTACTACAAACGTGCTGTGTGACGTTGGACCCCACCCTTCCCATCTCTGGGCCTCAGTTCCTAAACCTGTACAGGAAACAGATGCTCGGAGGCCCCCAGAGTGCCTTCCTGCTCAGACACTCAGGGTATGAAGTGCTCTCTGCACCAACTGTGGGCAGCAAAGACTTAATCAGAGGAGCTCATCTTTGTTGCTACTGTGTCTACCAATGATTTTTAGAGAGCGTGTAAGGGAGGGGGAGAGAGAGGGAGAGAGATAGAAACATCCATGAAAGACACATCCATCGTTTGCCTCCCACAAGAGCCCCAACCAGGGCCAGGGATCCAGCCTGCAACCAAGGTACGTGCCCTTGACTGAATTGAATTTCACCTGTGGCTCTTCAGTCTGAGGGCCGACGCTCTAACCTCTGAGCACCCGGCCAGGGTGAGAGGACATTTTTTTAAATATATATATTTTATTGATTTTTTACAGAGAGGAAGGGAGAGGGATAGAGAGGTAGAAACATCAATGAGAGAGAAACATTGATCAGCTGCCTCCTGCACACCTCCTACTGGGGATGTGCCTGCAACCAAGGTACATGCCCTTGACCGGAATCGGACCTGGGACCTTCCAGTGCGCAGGCCGCAGGCCGACGCTCTATCCCCTGAGCCAAACCGGTTAGGGTGAGAGGACATTTTTTAAGCCCTATATCCAGTTCCCCAGCTTTACCTGACACTCATTAATAAGTATATGTTAAATGTCTATTATGTGTCGATGATGTACAGTGTCTAAGGGCATGTAGTATATATTGAAACACAACTGAATTCATATTCCAGTTCTGTCACTTGCAATGGAAGGAAAAAAGTTTTAGTCTCACTTAGAATAGTTTATACTACCTCTATATGCATTATGGTTTTTTGAGGAAAATATCAATTATTTTGTGTCCGGTTGTTAATGCTACTGTTAAATTTAATTGCTATTTCTAAAATCTAGGGGTGTATGGGAGGTGTGGGTATGAAGAATGATTTTAGAATATTTAGCTAAGTGAAGCATCCAAATTTAGAGGACTAAGAACTGTCCATAAATTTTTGCTGAATGACATGTGGTGGAGTCACTAGATGTCACTATTGCACAACTTTGCTCCAAAAGGATAACCTTTAAAATTTAGAGGTTAAATACAGTATACAGTTCCAGAACACACAGCAGGGAAAGACAAGAACTGTTTCTATTAAGGGGCATACATTTGTACCTACATAATATTTATATAAGATATGAAGTTCCCAAGCAGTGTGTTTTGATATTATCTCACCCTGTTTCTTCAGTGGGTCTATCAGAGAATGGAAGCATTGATAAAACTGATAAAGGCCTTGGTGTGGCATCCTCCCTCCCCACACCATTGTATAGGTTTGGAATTAAGATGTAGGGAGGTGAAGTGACAAGAAATTTACTCAACATTATATAACAAATTAAAAGCACAGAGTTTGCCCAACTCTTTTTACAATAGCACACTATCCCTTATTAATATATGCAATCAAAGAGACATTCTAATAAAACAAGGTGAAAATAGAACCTCTAAATCCATCAGAATTTTTCACAACTTTAAAAGCAAAGCTTACAGCCCTAGCTGTTTTGACTCAGTGGATAGAGTGTTGGCCTGCGGACTGAAGGATCCCAGGTTCCATTCCGGTCAAGGGCACATGCCTGAGTTGGGGGCTCAATCCCCAGTAGGGGGTGTGCAGGAGGCAGCCAATCAATGATTCTCTCATCATTGACATTTCTATCTCTCCTCTGCTTTCCTCTCTCTGAAATCAATAAAAATGTATTTTCAAAAAAATAAAAGCAAAGCTTACATATGATGATAATGGTGCATACTTACAATAAAAATTATTAGTTGAATACCATGGCTTTTGCTATGATCTATATAAAAATCTCACTTTATTTCCATAATTGCAAGATTCCACAATTCCAAAAAGGATTTCAAGAAGGCTATTGAAATAAATATAGCATAAAAATTTTAAAAACTGATGTAATCATAAATGTAAGATACTGGAATATAAACCACTACAAAGTCTTTTTTTAGTACAGTGGGGCCTTGACTTACGAGTTTAATTCGTTCCGAGACCGAGCTCATTAAGGAGCTTGTTAACTCAAATTACTCTGTCAACTCAATGCAAAAAATCGGCCGAGAGACAGCTGGTATCTCAAAAAACTCGTTAGTCGGGACACTCGTAAGTCAAGGCCCCACTGTATACAAAATCATGCCACAATTCCCAGTAAATTTAGATTTGGTTAGCTATTTTAAAATCTGATTCTGCTTTCTCTAGCTGTGAGCACAAGGTAAGAAAAATGGATATTACTATGCCCATTAAAAGATAATGAAATATTATAATTTACCAAGATCTTGCAACTAGCATATTTCTGATTTTAAAGCCTTCATTCTTTTCATTATGCTAGCTATCCAGACATCTGATAAGAGGATTCCTTACAAGATATAGTCACTGTAACCCTTAAATACCTGGATCACTACAATTATCCCTAATTTTCACAGGTAGGCTTTTGTTTTCAAATAATTTCACAGAGCTATTGATAAGATG